CAGTTTTTAATTGTAGTGTCTGTTCTTTTACTGAACTAAATGATTTTTATTACTATAAAAAAATCAAAACGACTGTGGGGGTCGGTGCCGCGGTGGGCAAGTGACGTAACCGGTGTTGTGGCTTAACACCGGTATCGCCTTCAGCACCGTCTATCGCGGCAAGCCTAGTACTACTATGTGGTTAGGGTTAGGATTAGGGTTTGGCTTAGGGTTACTTGCATGTAATTATGCATAATTAATTGTTATTATAATAGTAAGTACATGTAACATGTGTAACAAGGACACCGGAATTTAAATGCTGAATGTTTGACCTGTGCTATGGAGAAAGGACGAAGTTCCACATCAATATCATGTGTGCTAATACTATGGGTCATGTTCACTAAGAATGATCAGGGATTGCTGATAGTGTTATTTACAGTATTTGCACGCATTATTTTAACACCCCACTTACTAAAGGAATCATGCAAATCAAGCAACTCAGCAAATGCACCCACAAAATTAATACGAAGCACAGTTTGCACAAGACATAGTGCTCTCTATTCACAGAAATGTACTCAGATAATGGCTGGAAGACAGCGAGTGGGCAAACTTTCAGGAACTAAAGCACACCAGCACAAATGGTGCCTTAATTTAGCCTTTTGTTTTAAGTGTAAAGGACCATCAGTAACCAACTTATAATACAAGAACTTGGTTACACTTTATTTTAAGGTGTCCTTGTTACAGTGCAATAAAAAAATTAACTACATGTACTTATTAGGGTTGTGACGGTGTGGAAATTTTCCCACCGGTTAATCGACGTGTGACAACACCGGTAATACCGGTATCACCGCGGGGGCTCGCTTTCCTTTGCTTTTAAATAGCTTGTAAAAGCAGCGTGCGCATTTTACTATCACTTTCAAATAGCGGCAATTCGGCATAAAGCAATTGTTCGTTTTTAGTTGGTTTGAATTTCCCCTCTTTTCCTCGCTTTCCTTCGCTTTTAAATAGCTTAAAAGTGCCGTGCGCATTTTACTTTCACTTTCGAATTAGCGGCAGTTCGGCGTCAATTGCTTGAATGCAACAACAAAATACAATGTCAAACTCACTTTAGCATATATATAAAACATAGAACTTTTATTAACAAAACAAATAAAAATACACCATGCTATAGGGCAAGCTATGCCTAATATAAAATAACAAATAACTTACGTAAAGTTTAAATAGGTATACAAAACTGGAAATAGGCTAAGTAAACATGTATAATATATAAGCAAATAAATAAGAAACATAGAACGTTTATTCGCAAATGAGTAAGAAAGTTTGGAGGCACGGCGTACACCTTGATGTCAAATAAAATAAATAAATGACACAAAGTTTAAATAAAGTAAAAATCAGCAAACACTGTGGAAATAATTAAATAAGAAACAAATGTTTAAAAAAACTTCCAAAATCAGCTTAGATAAACGGCAAAAGTCAACAGGCTTTTCAAAATCCAAAATATTGACAAACAGGCGTTTTTGCATTTCGTTTGAAAACTAAATCATCCGCCATCGTCTTGTCTGTCTCACCTCGCTCTTCTTGTCAGTCAGCTCGACTCGCTCTCCTCACTGGAGAAATTAAATCTGATCTGTGATGCGACTGTCGTTTGGCATGCTGCATTGAGCAGCCGCGTTCAGTTTTTAATTGTAGTGTCTGTTCTTTTATTGAACTAAATTATTTTTATTAGGCTACTACAAAAAATCAAAACGACTGTGGGGGTCGGTGCCGCGGTGGGCAAGTGACGTAACCGGTGTTGTGGCTTAACACCGGTATCACCTTCAGCACCGTCTATCGCGGCAAGCCTAGTACTACTATGTGGTTAGGGTTAGGATTAGGGTTTGGCTTAGGGTTACTTGCATGTAATTATGCATAATTAATTGTTATTATAATAGTAAGTACATGTAACATGTGTAACAAGGACACCTTAAATAAAGTGTTACCAAGAACTCAATCAAAATTCAGCCCACAATAAGGTCAAAGTTCAAATGATTAAGAGAAAACTGTAGTAAGTACACTGTGCATTGTGTATAAAGTTGATGGAGGGTTTGCTGAAGATCTCTTATGATCTAGGGTCATTAGCATGGCTTTGTTGGAGTGAACTTTGACAGTGTTTAGGCATCTCTTACCTTGAGGCCCAGCAGTGCCCCAGTGTCTCTGGGCACCGTGCCATCTTTCATCCGCTTGTTTAGCACTATCCGCCCTATTAGGCGCTCTCCATCTTTGGATGGTTGCCATGTCACCGGGTGCTATGGGGTCAAAGTGACAATACACCTCTGGTTTTTATACAAGCATCCACACACTGCACATTACAAACACACGCACATGCACAGGCTCAGGGAAATTAAAGCAGGAGGTGAGCACTCTTATTTGCTGAAGACCCAAACCGAACCAAGGTGTCACTTAAAACAAGTCAACATGAAACACATTCACAACCCATTTTACTTTGTAATTATATATTTGAGTGAAACAGTGTCTGTTTACTGAAAAAAAAATGTAGGATGGGATTTGATTTTATCCATTGAGATGTGATTGAGTCATGACCAGAATGGAGTTACAAGATTGGTAAGAGAAGATGCTAACACTTGAGATTAAGGAACACTATTCACTATTAACTAGTTGCTTACTGGCATGCATATTACGAGCATACTGCCTGTTTATTAACACTTATAAAGCACATATTAATGCATGACCATATTCTAGATCTCTTAACCCCACCCCATACCTAAACATCACTACTACAACAACTACCTACTTACTATCAATAAGCAGCAAATTAGGAGTTTATTGAGGGAAAACTCTTAGTTAATAGTGAATATGTGTTCCATATTCTAAAGTGTTACTGAGAAGATTTGTAAGAGAGAGTAAGAGAGATTTGCAATGTCAGCTGAAAACAAACATTGTTGTAGGCGGAGCAGGTTATTTCATTTTGATGAATTATGAAGGCAAATCTTTTGTTTTTAATCTTTGGAATAACATGCACACATGAATCGTTCCCAATAAGACCAGGAACACACATTAAGTAAGTATAGGGTCTGTTTTGATTTCATGCTGACTTTAAAAGGGTATTTTTGTGTTTCTTGTCATTATAAATTTATTAACATTTAACATTTATGGTATTTAAATGAACAATTCAAACAAATATTAAAAATCCTTTCATAATTTTCTCACTCTCATGTCATAAACTAATATAAGGAAAAGCCTGAAAATGTTTTCATCCACTGTAGTTCTCATATCTAATATACACTCAATGCATATGGTGCATTAAGATATGTTGTAGCAAATTTGATCTCAAATATGTATAATATAATTGAGCTTTTTCCCCCTTGACACTAGTGTAAAAGTTTGCACCACATTTAAACTGAATGACATTTAAGAGCTGCAGGGAAGGGGAAGATGATCAGCTAATAACATTTTGGTCTGCACTGCACAAGGAAATGGAAACTATCTAGGCAGAAAATTACCAGTATGTTTTTTGTTAACTTTATGGACATTTACTTTAACCCTAAAACAAATCACTATGCAAAGTGTATTTAAAACATGGGTAAAAATTCAATATGGACATCATTTTAAAGGGACAGTTCACCCAAAAAGAAAATGAGCTGTTTATTTACTCACCCTCAGGCCATCCAAGACATACTGTAGATGAGTTTTTTGTTCAGTAGTAAAAAAGATTTTTAGCTGAAACCATGGTCCTTGATGATTCTGTCCGAAAGAATCAGTTCGCAAAAAAAGGATCGGACTTCACTATTTGCCTGAGGCTCAGGATTACAGGTAAATAATGTGGTAAATAATGTTCAGTTTTCACACAGACCAATCATTTCGCTTTATAAGACCTCATTATATCATCAGGAGCCATAGGCAATGTTCCCTCTAAGCTGCGCGCGTGCACAGCCACGCACTTCTTTCATAACCACCACACAGAAGAAATAATATTCAGCGCACAGGACAGATGCAAAAATAAGTTGCGAAAGCCATTTGATTGAATTCTAGTAAGTGCAAAATAATTGCAATGCTCGGACAAACCGCTATAGAGTTGGTGTCGTTAGAGTTAGATCCGGTGAATGCGGCTAACAGGTTTCATATAGCGCTTTTTCACTGGGTGGTACGACTCGGCTCAGCACGGCACGGCATGGCTCTGCTTTTGTTTCCCCTGCCGTTTAATACCGCTTTAGAGTGGGTGGGATTATTCACATGTCGTTATAGTTGCGCCGCCTCAATTGTCGCGACTCCTGAAAAACGTTTTTCATTGCGCGTCGCCCCATTAAGCTTAATTGGATCCGCTCCTCTGCATTCAACGAGAGGAACCTCTGTACTTAAAGTGACGTAAGTGAT